ATCAATGGGCCTATCGCGCTCTGGCCCAGGAAACACCGAGCCCTCCCACACTCGGCTCGGCCGAATCCGCAAGGATTTCCTCTTAAGCCAAGAGAAAGGCCCGAGAAGAGCCCGCGTTCATCCCTGAGGACAGGTCCTCGTACAAGCAACGACGTGCAGTCGCAGAGTCTGCCCGCGACCGCTCCCCAGTCCGCATGCAACGAGACCGACTGCGTGAAGCTCCCCGAGCTCCCCTGGCAGACCGGCTGAGCGCAAGAGGAGCAGGTCCGAGTCGACGTGAGAACCGGTACAACAAAGGATGGGCTGCGGACCAGCGGGATGGGGCCGTTTCGCTACGCAAGTAGTAGTCGACTCTCGACTGGTTCTCGTATTCTGGCAATGAGCGAGAAATTTGTGTGACATATGAATGATATCCTGAATGTAAATAATCTCGTACACAAACGTATTGTATTCTACCAGCTTGTATATTCGTATAGTATACCCGTACTAGTAGATCGAATCGCCATCAGATGGATGGAGGCACAATTATATATCAAGACTTGCATACTAGAAAGCGTCGGCTCCGCCGACATTCTGCCTCGCTATTTGATATCAAAATTAATTCTAATTTTTTCTTTGATACGGGCAACTACGACGGGTCGAACTCGAGACCGACAGGAAGAGCACGGAGAGGAACGGAACAGTGGGGGAAGCGCTACCGGGTCTCAAAGCCGCGCCTCATCACATTTCTCATACTGGGTACACCACATCATATCTGGATTATGCTAGGGCCATTTGGCCAGTAATCGTCTTCGTCATCGATTCGTTTCCACTCTGCATCTTGAGGATCTTGTATCATGAACAGATATGTGGGGAGAATAAACTCGGCCTCCTTGACTGGGAAAGATTGATGAATGGCCAACCAACTAGTTTCATAGAAAGCCACAGGCAGAGCGGGGATCGGAGCCCTGGTCGATTTTCGCATCACAGAACGTCGCAGACGACGGTGAGGGCGTGGTCCCGGTCGGGGATTGCTAAAATCCAATCGGTCAAGTAACTTGAGGAGGCCGACAAGATCTCGATGCCGCCAAGCCTTCCGCCTCACAACCTTCACACCTTCCTCTTCACCCTCCGAGTCGGAAGAACTCATGCCTTCTGAGCCCATGATATCCAAAGTTTTGACCAGCGTGTCAAAAGCATCGCCTTCTTGTTGCTTGCGCAAGGAGGCCGTACGGCGGCGACGCCCCCAGAGCTGCAAGTATATTAGCTTTGCGGATCTTCCAATGATACCATACCACGTACAGTGCCCTGATGTTCGGAGCGACGGCTCGCTTCAAGATGGTTTTCCAAGTTTGCAGCCAGCGTGTCTCTGAGCTTCAATATACGCCTTCCAAAGTAGTAGGCAATGAATCTGGAATCCAGAACGGGATGGCTCGAGCGAACGCGAGCGATAAACAGGGGTATGAGGTCGATATTCCACGGATGACTGATTTCATGCCAACAGACACGCAAAGGGTCGATAGTGGGGGCAGTGGACGATGTGGCGGGAGAGCTGAAGTAAGCTGAAGCTTCTGCTGTCGAGACGGCCAAGCCATCGGCTAATTTGAATTTCAATTCTCCATCTTCCTGGATACCAAGCAGAGCCTGTGTGATGAGGCGTATTGCACGCTAGAGTGTTGAAATTAATCACTGACCATTAATTACAATCCCAGTTACTGACCTTCATTGGACGATATGAGCCGTCCCAATACGCATGGGCGTAAGCTCGAAGATGCTTGTCATTGAATGGTTCCAGAATGACATGCACGGACGTCAATTCTGAAGGGGAGGATGATGTAGGAAGGGGTGGAGCGGTTGGAGTGAGTTCAGTATCGTTTATTTTGTCATCGGGCGCTGACATAGAGCCTTGAGATCCATCCAGCCTTCCAGCGAGAATGACGTCATAGTCATCGGAATGCGTATTTACGTCATGGGTCACATGGGCGGCGATCTGAGGCAACGATAACGTCCTGGGATCTGTCTGACCAGGACGCAATGCCTGCGGACTATCTGTGATCTCTGTTCCTAGAGAAAACGTCTTGATGTTATCGATGAAGGTGTTTTGCTCTACAAAACTTCCCCGCCATATTGTTTCATTTGTTTTCCAGTCGTCGTACAGCTTGTCGGCGTCGCGTTCAAGATCGTTAATATGAGCACATATCCCGTCGTACAGCTCGGAAAGAGATCCGAGTTCTCTCTGCAGCTCAACCCTGATAGAGGACTGTAGAAGTGAGCACTCTTGTTTTCTGAGTCCGTTGGACATAGAACCTGTATTTGCGCGTGTGATTGCAGTGCATCAAGCTGTAGTCCGCCTAGTCAGCAGTCGGCTGGAGCAAACATGTGCTAAGACATTCACCTTCGACTTCAACACGGCGATAAGTTCGACCTAGCTGATGCTTCAGCTGGCAAAATGTAGAGAGCTCAACGGACGACATACCTTTGTCATCGTGAGTGGCGAAGATTTGATGCAGCCCAAATGTCCACGGTAAGTGATGGATGTCCGGGTCGATGGCATCTTCACCGATTTGCCTTGATCTGATCACGGCACAAAGGGAGACACGAGACAAAGACCTTTGTCTCCGACTCCCTAAAAATTCCTCTACAGTTGGACAAACTCATTCGTTCACCTCATGTCGGAAGCAACTCCGAACGCCAATCCTTTCGATCGCTCTCGTAGCCTCTCCGTTGCATTCATGTTCATACAGCCTGCCCCCCTACGCGGTACTGGGCTTCCCAGCGAACCTGTTGACCTCGCATATGAAGCTGCAGAGAGCGAAAATGACGCAATCGCCCGTTCTGTCGCGCGTCTGAAAATGAAGCATGAAGATGCAAAGAAGGTGAAGCCTCTCATTGCAATCATGCTTCACCAGACGCTCATGCAAAGATCTGCAGGAGATTACGGAACTCAAAGCCCAGATGAGACTCATGGAGGCGGAAACCCATCGTCTCAAGGATGAGGTCGGAAATCTGCGAACTCGCCTGATTAACACTGCGCGTCCCTCTTTATTTGCAGGAGATGTATCTGAAGCCTTGCAGTCCGCCGATTTTCCGCACGCATCGCTCTGTGTGATCTGTGGGGACTTGTTCCATCGACCTTTCGTGTAAGTTTTCCCCCTTCCGCGCGGGCTTGCGACTGAAATGGCCTCAGACTGACCGCTTGCAGTCATAGCTTTTGTGAACGCGATCTTTACGCATGGTTCAATACCATTAAGCATGATTATCCTGAAGGTACTCTCGTGGGTAGAATTTGAATCGTCTCCTGAAAGAAGCTGAGTCACACGCCAGTACTCGTGCCCGATGTGTCGTGCGACGACAAATGGAGTTCCCGTGCAAAACTATGCGCTCGAAGGCCTCATTAACAGCTTCTCGCGTCGTGAAGCCGAACTGATTGCAATGGAAGATGGAAATCCCTGTTCTTGGGACAACTTCCCCGGTCTCTAGACTACTTTACTTCCTGTGGCTGGGCTTGGAAGCACTGGATCATGTGACCGTGTTGCTTTGTCAGCAATGCACGAAACGTAGCACGTGCCAATTTCGATGAGACGGGAGTATATCGACCCTATCTTACTCAGTATTTGTGGACCCTATATACGTACTTCGTGACCAGCTCCTACTTCAATCGAATGGTTTCTGTCTCCTGGATAATCAAGAAAGGAGTGATAGGTGGTGAATTATGCCCTCTCGTCGAAACTCAGTCAATAGCTCGAGGCAGCGTGACATGAAGATGCTTGGCTTGGTGAGAGGGACGTGCTAGACGCCGCATATGCAGGAACGAAGGCGGAGCATGATAAAAATCGCACATGCGATGGACCTGGCTGATATACCATCATTGGCCAACCCTGCCATTAGGGTTTAGGCTACCGTCCTGGATATGACCAGTTTTAACGGATTACTTTATTCGTGGATATAACCACTGCCCAGTGGTTATATTGGGCAGTGGTTATTATATCCACAACATTAGGCTAAGGTTTCCCCGCTGAAATAAAAGTTTCCGTGGGAATCGAACAGCTGACCTCCCAAGAACAATATTTATCCAGTACATTGGCAGACTGAGCTAAATACCCGATATGGTTGACCAATATTTTTCTCGAGTCGTATGCTATGGACCCTGCGGGAAAGCCCCAGAAATCTTTCTTTTGGCTGCACGACACCTTAGCCTAAACCTGTGGTTATAACCACGAGCCTGGTTATATCCACTTAAAAAGCAATCACCTCTCGTCGTTATATCCAGTGAATTTATCCTAAATACTACGGTATGGGCTCATATTCTTACATGATTTGTCCTATCTGCGCAAACACACCTTGCCAGGCTGAAGGGTGAGTATCCCTTGGACCGGGAATGAGCACCAGTTTATCATAGAAGAGGTAGCAGCCGTCAATATTGACAAGGATCGCTTGTTCTGAAGGCACCAAACAGTATGAGTCGGAGTCAGAGCGACCTGCGACTGAGATGCGTGTTATCTGATATAGGGGTGAGTCGGGTGGCTGTGTAGCATAACCACCCTACCCACGCTATATTCTATGCGTGAGCATCACCATCAGCGTCAAGGAAGATCAAAGCGCCATCACTCCGTCCAGTCCATAGCGCCCTTGTATGTATGCAGCATAGTACATCGTTCCTGATTTTTCTCTTCCCGTTCGAAATATAGCAGTGATAAACGATCGTGTGGCATCTCGTACAGTTTTTGTGCCTGAATGTTGGCCTCGAAGGATTCCTCAATTGGTAAATATATGCCGAAGTCGTAACTCCTTGGCGTAACACAATTGCAGCCCATTGGAAGACATGAAATATGGTTATCTAGATCTACAGCTTCTACTGTCCAGGTGACTGTTTCTCATTTCACAATTCTGGATGGGTGTATTGACCGCATGAGGAATTAAACTTGTCTGGCATCACCTGAACGCGAATCTCTAATTTCCTAGAAAACCTTGCACGTGATTCATCTCGGCATCGCTCAACTTTCTTTGACCCTCCTCCGTCAATGGGTACTACCTACGAGCTTCACCATACCCTTGTGCCTATTGCTGCACCTACTCCCGCAGGTCCTGGCCAGCCTTCTCCTGCCGTCAACACCATCATCTTCTTCCAGTCCAGCAAGCTTATATCGGGAGGTTCGTTGGGGTGTGATCGGTCAACTTTGCCGACTCACGGATGGCAAAGGGGACGATTGTTGTGTTCGGGTGTGGGATTTAGAAAACGGTGAACAGATACAGGCAATACGGAGGCATCAATGGAGCCAGATCACCCACCTCATGGCTCTCGAACACTGGCATACCCGAAGCTGGCACATTTTGGTCGGGTGTGGAAATGGAAATGTGAGTACTATACCGCTCGATGATCGTACCAAGGTGTCTCTTGCTCCCTATGGCCGATTCAAGATTACTGATTCGCTCCTAGCAATTCATGTCAGAAGCAGGGAGTCATTTCCCACTGTCCACCTCCCCTGTCGAGTACCAAACGGTCAACTCTATGACAGATAAATATGCCGTAGGATTTCAAAACGGAGATATCCAACTCCACTCCATAGACCAATCCGGCAAGTCAGCATTTTGCAGTTGCATACTGATTTTCAATTACAGCCTATAGTACGGCTCAGTCTCATCTGGAAGACAAATCTAGGGGACATTGTCCGTCACATCATGTTCACTGGTTCCAACGTCAACGATCTGAGATATCACACGCTTCGTTACGGGTTAATGTACGTCCTAAAGGCGCATCCCTTCCTTCTGAAGTCAGAACTCACAGAATCAATGTCGATGGAGCTACAGGGAGGATTCTCCATTCAACACAACTAGAAGCCGGTTCTGTGTAAGTCCCTTCGCCGTTCATCTATCCTGAAGTTGAACTTCTACCCCATTTCAGCGGTTGTGTCAGCTACGCTCCAGATGAATTCCAAAAAGCGATTCAAAACATCTCCTCGGGTGATGTAGATTTGTACAATCAGCCCTCGACTCCGACAGTCAGCCTCACTATCAAAGCTGGGCAAGGAAAGAAGATTCAAGGGCTAGCCTTTGGAGAAGACGGCGCCATTCTCGTCTGCGGAAGTGGTTCAGGACGCATATTTGTTTTCACATCCCCGAAAGGCCAACGAATTCAAGCTCTACAACACCGAGGTATTGTTCAAGCTGATTTGTCCGCGTACCATTGCCTGATGATTGTTCGCGTAGATCAAAGTACAATCTGTGCTCTTGCTGTAAGTGCCCAACCAGTTTCTCCAATGAAACCTCTAAACGTTTTGGCCAAAGACAAGCACCTCGGAGGATTATCACTTTATCGCGGCCGGTGACTCAAACACCAGCGGAACGATATGTCTATGGAGCAAGCCTGTAGTCGTCGCTTCCTATCATAGCCATTCTTGATCGCTAACATTTTGCCAGACTGGTTGTTCCGTCGCAGTGGATGCACACCAAGCCCGGTCGGAGCTTGGTTCCGACTTTGCAAAGATGCAGGAAAGCATCCTGAAAGAGCAGGAACAGAACAATTGCCTCATGCTTTATATCAAGCGGGCCGCTATTGTCCTAACATTGGGCACATCCGCCGCCGTGCTCATGCTCCTCTACATCGCTTTGAAACTCGGCATAATTGAAGAGCTATACCAACGCTCCCGTGAGCGACTAGGACGCGTCGATTTGTAGGATTAGTGTGGCTATAAATCTTTGTTTAACCTGTCTCCGATATTTCAGAATGAGTATTGAAGCGAATCATCATTAATCTACGTTCAATACAACTTGCAAGGCGTCTTTCCGAAGAAATCAGCCAGGAAGAGCTTCGTCTTTCGATTAAACTTGGTACCGGTGAGGGTGCACCTAGAACCGTCATCCAGCAGGACCTCGCAGTTGTATCCTTTCGTGCGTTTTGTGACCGTCAAAACTTCTACGATGAGACCACCTCGCAGATTTGACGAGTTTCGACTCTCAATTGTCGAATGAAAGCAGGCGGAGAATCTGGATGGTATGGCCGAAAGACTCGACGAGCTCAACGAAGCAGAGCAAGGACCATCCAATAACTCGGGCAGGCGTCGACGTCCAGACGGCTGACGAATGGTCGCAGACGAGGCCGACAGGCCTGTCCCAGTTGACCACCCCTCAAACCCATCAGCACGAACGGCATTGAACGAAGGCGGAGCGACGGATGAGGCCGCAGCGTCAGGCTGATATTGCGACGTCAACAGATATGAGTTGGAATGATTGCATCCATGTGACGACAGTCGGGTTTGACCAGCAGACGTAGCGGAGATCGCTTGGTAAGGCTGCAGCCGGGGCTGTCCAAGTGACGCATCCAAAACCGTGCTCACAGAGGTGGTCGACGGTGTCGGATTGGACGGTGCTATAACAGGCGTGACGGTCAGCTCGTTGGTGGGAAAGTTTCCCATGGAGGGCCCGGTGCGATATGTCCTTGTCGATAAGAGAGATTGGGACTCTGAGAAGGGTGCGGTATTCGAATGTTCGGGCGCCAGGACCATGGATGAAGAAGAGCAGCAGTTCTCATGATCTTCGACTCGAGCAGCAGACGACACAGGCCCGTCTACCCCGCTGTTTGCTCTTTCGGCTTGAATGCGCTGTGTCGCACGCCGATGATCGAGTTCGGCTTCTTCTTCTGAACGCTCGCGGGCTTCCCGGCCAAGGTGCAACACTCAAGACTGTCTGCTCGCCAAGTAAGCCGTCATCGCGTTTATGTTCTCTGCTTGCGTTTGTAGTGCGGAGCGGATGCGTTCTTGACTTTGCTGTAGGTGTGAACGGGAGACTTCAGCGTCTTTAATGAGAGCTCGGAAGCGCCGCGCGCGGTCTTCGTATTCAGATATATCAACGGACTGTATGTTTGGCGTGAGACGATTGTGTGAGAGTAGCACAAGATTCTGCACTTTACCCCTTGTAATACCATTCCCTGCGCCGCATTGATCTGAAATGATTAAATGGATAGGAAAACGCATACCTGGTCTTTACCTGTTGCAGAAGAGAGGCTATTGTAGAGTCCTGGGCTGGGGTTAGAACAGCGGCATGTGGGTCGGAAATGCAAACGGCCTGACAAGGTCCTCGACGCTAGATGACCCTCCCATGATACCCGCGGAGTACTTTTCCTGTTGAGTCGGGCGTTCAAAGGTCATGATCGTTCGGAGAGTGGCAGTCCAAAGTGACCTTAAGCAGACGATTTTCTTCAAGGAGTCTGTGCAGTCGAAGGGACAATCCACTGGGCCCAGTGGAGTCGGCCGGATTCGCACTTGCTGTTGTGGAGCGTTCCATGTCCAGGTCTTCAGTCAACTCAGATAAGGTGGGCGGGCTTGAGGCTATGAAACGAAACAGAATAAGAGGCTTGGTCTCATCCACGCGAAGTGTTATAAAGGCCGAACGTTTGACTGTTTACGAGCATTCTATTCCCCAAAGATCTTTGGCTGATCACAGCCATCGCAATAAGCAAAGCAGTAAGAACAAGGGACGAAGAAGCAATCCGCCAGGACCAATGTTTCAACGCGGATTGTCGGGAATGATCTAGGGCTCGCATTGATGTCATGTCTTTGTCTTTGTCTCTGACGATTCTTCGACTGTGGTCTTATTCTCTCTCACCCATAGCTACTGGACCAACAGCCGCGAATGAAAGCCACGCTTCAGAACCTGACAAGAATTTGGACGGCGCCCACCGTTGCGGCGGTGTGTTCACGGCTTGCATCCTCTTCATTCATATTTATGACTGTGCACAGATGGGCGAGACTACGGTTACCGATGCAACAGAGATCGGCGACGTGGGTGTTGCATCCTCTTCACAATGCTTAACTGGTCAATTGCTGGATGAATTGGACCTCGTTGAATCGATGGACGCCGATCTTCGGAACAACAAGGCAGGTGGACGTTATGTTCTTGCGTTAACCTCAAGATGACGCGCTTCTCCATTAGACTATTCGCGATCTAGAAGTGAAGAACGATCAACTGCGGGAGGATATCTCGGAACTACAGGAAGAAATAGAAGAGCTTAGAACGGTTCGTTCTGTCTTGTTTTGTATGAGCACGAGCACATCGACTGTGGCACATCAACAGGCGCGGTCTCACCTGGAACAATACTACAAGGAAGTTATTGAGCAGAAACGGGCCCTCGAAGAGGGGTATATGTCGGCGACGATAAGCCTGAACAAGGCGGTGAATGCGGAGATCGATACATTGGAGGCGGAAAGAGATCGCTGGAAGAAAGCATACGAAGGGGTTAATGTCGAGGCTGTCGCCGCTCGACTTTCCATCTCAAATCTTGAGACTGCTCTCGGTGAGCAGAGTGAAGAGATCATCGCTGCCCAGCAGCACATTTGGGCTCTCGAGGCGCAACTGAGGGATAGAGACGGAGGCCTCTCCATGGACGTTGACGGCCCCGCCTCGACACCAGACCAACCCGGCCCTTCAATGGATGCTCCTTGCTCTCCACTATCGATCACACCTCCCGAGCTGCCCGAGGTCAACCACGCCATACCGTCAGCAGCAACGGCAGCTCGGGTCGGCGCCCCGGCACCTATGGACGTTGATGCGCATCCAACTGGGGACGAGCCTTCCCCAAGCCGCAGCAGAGACCCTGATATTCTGGCCGTAGACACCGCCCAATCTGCAGAGACGATTCGGAATTCTAGCCCTGATACTCAACCCTTTGACTCCCGTGCTCAGGCTCAGGTGATTGCCGGAGTTGGCAGCATATCAACTCTCAAGTACGGACGTACCCGTCTCACACACCACTTTTCTTCGGAAGAAGTTGACAATGTGCTCAAAGCTGTCGGGGACCAAAGAACTGCGTACCAGGCATGTTCTGCTATCCCCTTGTGAACTTAGTCACTAACAGACCGTCCAGACCAAGGTTCGCGACCTCACCAACTTTCTTCTGAAGATCAAGTTCGCCAGAGACATTGTTTGGGTGATCGACTCGGAGACGGGGGATCATGTTACTGAAGAGGAAGCTTCTGCCTATAATCGGGACCCCACCGTCACACCAGGGCCAACCCTGGAGCCTTTCAGGGTTTATTGGGGAGAAGATCTTGAATGCAGATGGAACACCAAGCTAATGCAGTTGGTCGTTGCACAGTATGGATCGGAACAGCTAGAAGGAGTTCCTGCGTTGTTTATCAGTCTACACTTCTTCAGACGGCTTCGCAGTCTCCGATCAGAATACAGGAAGCAGGGCCTTATGTCATATGATCCCGGGAAGGCCGCTTATTCCAATGCCATTCGGAAAAGAAACTCCCGGCGTGCTTCAGTAAGTGTTACATATGTCGTCTTTTTTGTCCACGATATCTCAATTTCTGACAGCTCTTATCTCTGCGCATGACGGAGATCGAACTTCTCTCCGAAGTATTCCAACATCCGGTAATCCAGGATTTGCTTGGTACTATGAAGGACAGCAAGCTATTCAACGCGACCTTGATGAGTTCGGAGGAGGACGCTCCCGTGGAATTTGGCCCCCCAGGGGCAGCAAATGTTTTTGAGAAGTCCTGGCGCAATCCAAAGTTGGTCGCTGTTATGAAGATAATCGACGCATTCCACAGAGAGCATCGCATGTTAAACCCCACGCGAGGGTGCGCTCCTCATCTTCGGATTCGACATGCGCCCGGCAAGTACGAATCGACGCGTCCGCCTCCCCCAGGGTTTCCAATCAACTGGTACAACCCCAAGATGTCTAGCCAAGAAGTGGAGAGGCTGTCTCCCGCACCGCCTCATCCTTTTGCAGAGGAGATTCTGACATGGCCTGAGTTCGCCATGAGCACCTGGGGTCCCAAGGCTCCGATTCGGGATACAGACTCAAATTGGCCAAAAGTGAATCCGTCTGACCAGTAGGCTGCAGCAGACTGTTGCTTTTTGTATTCCACACTTCCCAAAGTAATGAGCAATCAATCCATCTCGGCGATATTCCTGCACGATCTGCGTATGTAGAAGGCCAGGCCCGAAAAGTGCATACCTGCAGTCGGCTGATGTTCACGTGCTCACTTCCAAAATAATCACAAGCAGACCTTTACGCTTATTTAATCTGTCACAAGCGTTACTTATAATTATGGCCGCCGCCGGATGTGTTCGGCCCTGCGGGCCCTCACGTACCGATCATGTGACTTTATGCCAAATTCTCGGACCATCTTCTATTCACACATTCTGACATACCGACTCATCTTTCCCTGGGCCTGAGTAATGCCGAAGATGGCGCCTGAGGACCAGAAAGAAGGTTAGCGTCTAATGCAACTCTTCCCGCTATCTATCTGTTTTTGCCCGCTTTGCGCTTCTTGGAGAAGGGAGGGCAAGCGCGTGAGCCGCCAGGCGCCTCCAGACCCGACCCTGGGCAAACTGCGCTGTGCTTGCCCAACTCACGCTTGGCTTTCTCTCTACCCTCAAGGATGATCGAACTTGGGCTTACTTCTGCAATAGCATCGGCGCCGCTGCCCAAAGCGACGTGGGCTAAATCGCAGCAGCTGAGCGCAGCCCCATGCGCGCAGCCCGTCAAACTATCGCCCTCGTCTGTGGCCTTGTCGCATTTGCTACAACAACGGAGCAGAACACGAGATGTAGGGGAGGAGTTCGAGGACGACTGGCCTTTGAGCTGCTTGCAGGCTGGCTCGTGCTCTGATGCAAGGTTCGTCAACTCCGGACTCGCAGCCAACCGCTCTCATTGTTGTCTTCCAGTG